TTACCCTTGAATGACGTCACATTTTCAATCTCTATAAGAACAAGGTCATGCTTTCTGCATTCTCCACCACTAAATCTCTCTCTCTCTCTCTCTCTCTCTCTCACCTAATACTGCATAACTAGATTTTGCAAACATTTCTGTATACACAATTCACGTTGCATCATGGAACAACCCGACACATCTGATGGACAAACACTGAGACTTACCGCTGTTAATTTGTCTTTCTGTAATAATTCACTTTTGTCCATAATCCGCACTGGTGATGGCTTCTCTGCAAACACAAAAGGACAAAATCAAGGTTTGGAATTAAATTCAATTTCTTAGATTGCACCAAATTACAACAAAAGTTGCCGTAATATTGTAAAGTAAAGACCCTAAAATAATACAAAGAAACCCCAACAATGAGACGACCACTAATGAGCAATCACTTTGGTGACAACGGGAGGTAGTTTTTTAAATGCACCTTAGAACACACATGCATCAACACTACATATGAGCGGGCGGAGGGAGGTTTGGAGTCTTCACACACCCCCGTTCTCTGTTGCCTGGTGGGGTGGGGGGGCTGGGAGGAGGAGTTGGCCGTCCAATTGGGGTCTAGAATGTGGGGCCTCCCTGCTGCTGCGGAGTTGTGGCGGTCTGTTTCTCTCCAGCCTAGGGAAGATGGTAACACTACCTGGGTCTGGGTGCAGTTTCCCCATATAGGGGCAAGGGTACCAAGACCTAGGGTATACAGTATGCTTGGGGAGTGTGATTGTGTGTACAGTGTCTATTTATGTCTGTCTTCATGTTGGGTGAGTGCTGAGTACTTGCATATGAGAGCATGAGGGTGGGAATGGATGTTTGTATCTGTGTGTGCCTGTTTGTCTGTGTCTACATGTCAGGTTGAGTATCAGACGCCACCTCTCTAGGGACATCTCAGGCCCTCCGAGGTATGGAGGCCTATCTCCCCCCACCACTCCCCCTGCCAGTGGCAGACGCCCTCAGACATCGGTACATTGGTGGTTCTTGGTGTCTGGGGATGGGCGCCCAGGTATGCACCGGCTCACTCCTGGTGGCTGCTTGTCAGGGCCTGGAGCCTGGGGCTCGCAAGGGCCCCTTCGGGGGGTGGGTTGCCCTCGGCCTCTGGGCCTGGGGCTCGGGCACTCTGGTACGTCACTGCAACCCCCCCTGGCTTCTGCTCCGCGGCTGCTGAGTGACCCCTCATTTGGGGCTCTCCTCAGCTCTTTTTGAGAGAGTGGCATGGTTGCCCTTCCGTTGGTCTTCCTTGGTCTCTTGTGCTCTGAGGGTCTCTGGATGTCTGGAGCCCGGATCTCCTCCATACCTGCTTCAGGACGACGGGGCTATGGCTCCCCACACCCTCTAGCAGATCATTACATGAAGGAACCTTTTGAATACAAGCGCGCTCATGCTCACAGGTGTACACACGGGTGCTCAAAGACACAAACTACACCCTTTTTGGCTCCTACCTCAAAGCACACTGTGTGCTGTAAATCTTACGTGCTGCACAATAATATTCAATATTTAGTATTTACTTTTATATTCACATAGATTATTGCGATGATGTTATTTATTATATTGCTCTCTTTTTTTTTGCTTGTTTTCTCTTTTTTCTTTCTCAACAGGTGATCCAGGTGATTGATATATGTATTTTTTGTCTGTTTGTTTTGTTGTTTTTTGCCCTTTATCACCGTTCCTCTTCCCCACTGTTTTTCTTTCCCTACCTCTCTTTCTTTCTCCCTTTCCTTTCCCCCAGTCATGTCTATCCCGTGTGTAGCAGGTGAAAATAAAATAAAATAAACAATAGAAACAAAGGTGAATCAAATAGACCAATACGCCAAGGCTGGGATGGTCCATTTAGTAAAGTAAATCCGTTGGGCATCTTCCTTGGCCTTTAGACAATTCTGATGGCAAAAAAACCCAAATGGGACAGGCAGGAAAAGACAACGGGAGGTAAAAACTCCCTTTTAACAGGAAGAAACCTCTGGCAGAACCAGGCTCAGGGCCATCTCCCATGATTGGTTGGGAGTGACGGGAGGAGGACAGGACAAAAGACATGCTGTGGAAGAGGGCAAGAGAATAATGAAAACTCCTTAATTAAATGCAGAGTGGTGTTTAAACACATGATGCGTCCAAAGGAGTGAGAGGACAAAAAAGAAAGCCCAGTTTATCATGGGAAGCCCCAAGCAGCCAGGTCTATTGCAGCATTACTAAAGGAGGACTTGTTCCAGCCTAACTATGTGCTTTATCGCTGAATCAGGCCACTTATCCAGTAATTTTAAGCCTGATTTAAAAAGTAGAGAGGGTGTCTGTCTCATAAATCCAAGCTGGGAGCTGATTCCCCAAAGAGGAGCCTGAAAGCTGAAGGCTCTGCCTTCCATTTCAGAACCACAAGTCTGACATTAATGGCCTGTATTTGTATAGCGCTTTTACTAGTCCCTAAGGACCCCAAAGCGCTTTACACAACCAGTCATCCACCCATTCACACACACATTCACACACTGGTGATGGGGAAGCTACATTGTAGCCACAGCCACCCTGGGGTGCACTGACAGAGGCGAGGCCACCGGGCCCTCTGACCAAATTAGCAGTACAACAAGGCCCTGCAGATCTTGATTCAGTCTGTAGGTAATGTTTTGATCAGACGTAGGTAGCTAGGAGTATTTCAAAGGTGCAGAGCCTGGTCTCCAATTCAATTATCCTGGCCTCCAGAGATGTAAACAAGCTACATTTATTACAAGTATTATTATTACTAAAGGAGGCCGAGGAGTAGCTAAACATCTGACACACTGAGCAGGTGAACAGGCCATGCTACTAGCGAGTCGCTAAGCTAAGCTAGAGAATCTCTAAGTACACACTGAATGAATACTGTGAATATAACTAGCGAGTGAGTCAGCAGAAAATGTACTTTGGATAAACCATGTGAAGATTACACTATGAAATAACATGCTACATACAAGTTTAAATTTAAATTGGCTACACAAAAATACTACTGTGCATTGTAACAGGAAGTGATACAATAACGCAGAGAGCCAACACCCACATATATTTTATATTATATCATATATAATAGAAAATATTATATAATTCAATTGCAATTTGCCTCCTGTTCCATCTTTATACCCTGTTTCACAGTTGAATTTGCAAAACCCATAAGCTGGTGATACATCAGGACTTTTGGGAAGAGAAATCTTGATTCCAAACTGTAAGCACATAAGCCACAAAAGTGCCAAATCCACAGTGGATAACACTTTTTAAACAGCTAATTTATAGCTGCTATATATTGAGTAAGCTTGACAAATATAATTGGTTTGGGTTAATTATTGAGTGCTAAAAATTAAATTAATTTCAGTTTTATTTATATAGTGCCAAATCACAACAGCAGTTGTGGTGCTTTTTATTGTAAGGTAAGCCCCTACAATAATGCAGAGAAAACAAGAACACCCGAAGAGTCACATGAATAAGCACATCGGCGAAGTGGGAAGGGAAAACTCCCTTTTAACAGCCAAACTTAATGCACACTTTACAATGACCTGTTCACTTTTGTAAAGGCAGACTACCTGGCTAGGTGTGTTTGTGTTATCTGGGAGTGTAAACATAAAAAGACAAGACTTTCAGTCAGACTCTTTTTGCATAAATGACATTTGAAAGGAATGACATGAATTACCATGGATTTGACATGAATTAAAGTTGCAAAAAAGATTAGAAATATTATTATGTCACACTTTTACAAAAAGCT